CGGCAACCATCAAGTAGGTCGCCAAGGCTGCTAGGCCTGGACTCGAGCCTGTATGGAGTCATTCAAGAAGACGAGCCTATGTGCTCCCCGCCTGTGCCCCCTTCCCCTGCCGCCCTCCATCCGCCCGCGCTCGACTCGCGTGTAGCCCCTGGACGGTAGGCAAATCACAGACCCGCACGACACGCGTGCTCACCGGGTGGCCTACCCGTGACTCGTCGGGCGCCCTGTCTCCTCCCCAATATGCCGTCTGCGCCTTATCATTCTTCGTCGTGGAGCAACCTTCGCTAACGCTCTGCCCCCCCTTCTCTGTTCCTGTTTCAGGCGCAAGCAAGATGAGGTCCAGGTGCTCGAGGAGAGCATCCGCCAGCGGTCGGAGCAGCACAAGAAGGCGGGCGTCGAGCTGGACGCCACGTGTCACATCTGCCTCAAGACCAAGTTCGCGGACGGCGTCGGCCACGTGTGCAACTATTGTAACATCCGCTGCTGCGCGCGATGCGGGGGCAAGGTGACGCTGCGCTCCAACAAGGTGAGCACGCCGGAGTGAGAAGTAACGCATCTTTTGAGGATTATGTTGAGCATGAGACTTGCCGAGTTGTAAGCACTGCCTACTAAGCAGCAACAAGTTATGCACAATCTCATGCTCAACTAATGTACAACTCGTGTGTCTATATTCACACACACACAAAAATGCGCGAGGGTCTAGTGTGGACACAAATCACACTCGTGCGTTCCTAGGGCATGCCGTGCTCAGCGTGGTTTTTTGTGGACGTTTCCACCAAAAAGTGAGCGTTAGCCTAACTGCTTGTTGGCCTAGCTGGCCTAACTGACCGTCAGGTAAACCGTCATTAGATGGAATAAGTTTGTGACTGAATAAACGTTTGGCAAACTGAACGTTAGCGTGATGATAAGTAAGATAAACGCGAAGAATAATAGACGCTCACTTTGATCAACGCTTAGAACGGTCAACGCTAAGACCTACGAAAAGGCTCATGCGGTAATGCTCAGTCAGTTACAAATTCAATTATTCTGAGGCTTAGTTTAGGTCACGTTCAGTGGTAATGCTCATTTAGCTACTCAAAAAACCACTAACGCTCAGTTCGGCTAATGCCCGCAAGTGCTAACGATCAGTTTGGCGCACGATCAGTTGGACTAACGTTTATTCAGAGTAATGCTAAGTCAAACCAACGTCTAAACGTCAAAATGCCCCAAAAATTCGATGTTGTGAAGGACAAGACCGCTCAGGGGTTGTCGTCATGTTCGCCGTCGATCTCGATCGTATTGATCACGTGCAGCGCCTTTCCAAGCACTCTAAATCGGGAGGTACTTTTTAACGGACAAGTTATTAAGGTGCAGGGTTGCGCACATCTAGCACACATCGGCAAATGCCAATTTACATATTGAAAATAATTACAAATTTGTATGATAAAAATGGAATGTTTGCAAATTAGTCAGTTGCAAGATTTAGATTTGCCAGTAGTTTTCACAGAAATGCATCTTTGGTACGATAAAAGTTCCTTCAAAGTTTACACTGATAAACCAAGTGTTCAACTGCTCAACACTCGTAAGTGTGCAACCGCAAGTTCAGTACTTGCAAGTGTTCAATTCAGTAGTAGTACACTTGCAAGTGTTCAACTCGGTTTTTGTGCACTTGTAAGTGTGCAACTCTTCTGTTGAACACTTCCCTCATACACCGAGTTTAACACTTTCAAGTGTACTACTACTGAATTGAACACTACTTGCAAGTATTGCACTTGTGGTTGCACACTTACAAGTGTTGAGCAGTTAAACATTTGGTTTATCAGTGTACCATTTTCTGCCAGTGATCCGCGTACGGCGGGGAAGAGCTGTAGCTGTACCCCCTGTCGCCTATCGTGTGCCGCATTGTCGGTTTCGTATTATTTTTAGTCCCGGACAGCTATTCTCGGCAACACCCGGAATGTCACTTTATTTTTCGCCGTCCAGCGGGCGGCTACTCAGCTCCGGCGGCGCGGCTGCCTTTGTCCAGCTGGTCGCGGGGCGTGCGCCGTCGCCGTGCCGCGCCGACGCTCAGAGGCAGTGACCGGATGATAGGATTATCTAACGGCTCGCGACCTACGCTCCGCGTGCATGTCGCGAGCGCGTTCCAGATAGAGTTTGGGGGAAATATTGACTCATCTGACGACAGCGGGTAGAGGAAGGGAAATTCATTTATTGGTAAAGATTTTTCGAAGGAAAAGGCCACCATTAAAAGTGCCCATAGGCCGCGCCAGATAAATGTTAAACTATGTAAAATTCGTGATTTGAACTTAAAATCGAAAAGCGCAAATTAACAAGCACTTCGTATCGACTTGGAATTGATCAAGAAGCAAGAATGGGCTGTCGCGAATTGACAACATATTTTGTAAATTAAGGTCACAACAACAATTTGTGTGTGTGTGTGTGTGTGTGTGTGTGCGTGAGTGCATGCGTGCGTGCGTACGTGCTTGCGTGCGTGCGTGCGTGCGTGCGTGCGTGCATGCGTGCGTGGTGGACTGGGAAAGCAAGGGAGGGGGCGAGAGAGAGGTAGGCTCCAGCACGACATTCGCGTGCAACGGGCTTGCCTACCTCTCCGTTGACAGGCGCTTGCGGTTGAGGCGCCTCCTCCCGTTGGTCGCCGACCACCACATTACTTGTACTTACTTTCGATCCCTTTAAATCTCTGCCCAATCTTCAATAATATTCGGACTATAGCCCCCCCC